TAAAAATGCCCAAACACTTGCTGTAATGGGTGTCTGTTAAAATATCCGGCACGTCGTTCGGTAATTTCGAAATGTCATTCAAAACGTCAACACCGGCACCAGCAGTATCCGGTTTTCCGAAATATTCACATAAATCCGTAACGTGTTTCGATTGTCCATCGGAATCCAATCGACCGTCGTCCGTGTACGGTGTTTGGATTATTTTACAACCAAACAGCGTGGCGTACATGTAATAAGCCATAAATTGTGCTTCTACGTACTGAGCTATACGTCCGCGTAACGCGTCGCCGGACTCATCGCGAGCCAGCATACGACGTTGATTCCGACTCGGATACGGGTCCAAAAAAACGGCTACTTTGAATTCCGCGTGATATCGTACGACCAATTCGTTGAACGTGTTGCCAAAAAACGTCAACAGTTCGCGGACCATACAGTGTTTGTATTTGGGATCACACAATTGCATTATCACGGTCCATAATGGATTGTCGATCGGTCCTCGATCGCCGATCATCCGTCCGGCGCAATGTCGGTACGAATAGTCTAGAGCGCCGTGCAATGCTGCGACGTATGCCGGCGATCTACTCTTACCGCCAAAAGTACCCAATTTACCGCGACAGCGTATAATCCATCTCGCGGCGCTCAATTCCCGTAAAATGGACGTTTTACCGGTACAGGCCACTCCGGTGATGTACTTAGGACAATCGGGCCCAGTCGAACGAGTCACGAAATTTCCAAACGGTATACCGTAATCATGGTTTACGTTAATCATGGCCGTTAAAGACGCATCGTCCCACGATTCCTTTTGCACGATCGTCATTATTTTCTGAAAAAATAACTCCAACCGTTTCGGCACGTATTTACGTATATCGAAATCACGAATTTGCGGCGATGGTGACGGTAACATCGTCTCAGTTTCGTCCATGTCGTATTTTACGTGATTCTTTAACAATCGGAACGTGTGCAAGCATACGGGTCGTCCCCGATACGAATGCAATAATCCGTCGGCGTCGGATTTCAAAACGTCGTGCACAAAACGTGATATTTTGATTTTGGAAAATTTGACAAACCGCAAAATTTTGGGACGCGACCACGACAGTAACATCGAATAAACGGCGTATATAATGGCGTCGTTGTCCGTCCTAGTAAACGTGACGCCGTCCGTGAATTCCGGACTTCGGATGTAATGTTGCGCGTACCGAAACTGCAACAATTCCTCAAAAGCACCAACCTCGTCGGATCCGTCGCGTTCGGCCATATTGTAACCGCTTTCGGTAACGCTTTTGCCCAGTTCGAAATCACAAAACACTTGGCGAATCAATTTCGGAACAAGTCCGCCGGTATATCGATCGTTAAAGCTAGTAAACTTGTACGCATCGCGGGCACCGACGGTCGTTTTCGTCACCGACCCCGGTGGACACAATCGATCGAAATTCTCAAAATGCTCGCTAGGCGAAACGCTAAACCGTCGTCGTTTTATCGTCGTTTCTAAGTCATCCGGCTGTTCGTACAGTGAACACAAATCGTTAAGGTATTGCGCGTAACTCGATACGGATTTGGGATCATCGCGATTTTCCATGATGCCGGTTGTCGTTATTCCGTTTCGCAAAATAGTGTACAGTACGCCGTTTTTTGTACGAGACGTACGATCTAAAACGCGCATACTGATTCGATTAACCGGTTGTGCCCATTTATATATAATCACGCCCAAAGGTCATCGTTATGCCTGAACGACAAACGGTCCTCGAACCTATACACCGGTTGTACGGATTGAACGATCGTTTGCAATACCCACCGTTAACGTACAAAACGTGTACGGATCGGACTCTCGTAGAGCCCACATCCGAGAATTTAACGATCGGAGCCACGTGGACCGATTGGATCCACGAGTCTTGGTATGACGTCCGAGTGGCCGCGTTCGAACGCTGTTTGTGGCCGTACGAAATGCCCGAATCGTCGTTATGGAAGAGCGCGAACGGCGTACTATTGCAGTACGCGCCCAACTTAAAAGCGTTGACCGATTTACGAGATCCCGCGGTGGTCTACTACAAAAATCGAGACGGCGTCGTGCGTATACGTATCGAGTTTATAGAAAGTCGGTCTATAGAATTCACCGAATTGCTTCCTTGATATTTTTTTCTATTCATATAGATAGTGAACGTTTGGTCCGCAACCATGGCGATCGCAAAATTATTAATTCTAATCGCGTTGTCGATGTACGGCGTTCTGTCGTTCAACGACACGATACTAATATCGAACTATTACAAGCACAACGTAATCATGGAACACGATAACGTCACAGTGTACAGTTCCAACGCTTCTGGGATCCTATGGTCGATCGAACCCAAAACCGATTATTACGTGTTTCTCAACGATTACGGTCGGATATATTTCGTGTTGCGATCGTCGTTCAACAACAGCGTCGATAATTACACGACGTGCGGATATTCCGTGATAATAGAGAATTACGTTAAAGACCTGATTCACATAACCTTGTGGAATGATACATTGAGATATTGTACGCCTACAAAGTACTTTGGTTAACGTCGTGTATACACACACACACTCACGTGCAAATTTTATTAGTAAAGGGTTAGCGGGGTAAAAAAAATAAACAAAATTTAATAAAAAGAAGATATTATATTTTTTTATTTTACACAACACAGACACATAAATACAATACATGTATGTTTAAATTTTTTTATTTAAAATATACAATCTATACCCATTAGACACAATAAGTATATAGGCAGAGGGTAAAAAACATAAACATATTAAACATTAATATCTAAAAACTAGAAAACTTTAAATTTTAAAATTTAAATCCACATCGGTTATACGATCAGAAACTTTGATCACGTTGCAGAACCGTTCTTTTGCCGAATCCGGTACGTTTTTGTCGAAAAACGACATGAAATCTTGTAAATGTTTCGGATCGTTTATGATTTTTTCAAATAACTTAGACATATTGTTCCCCTTTTGTACATTTTGCTGACGGTATTCCGAAACACGATCGACGGGTCCGACCATGTACGATCCCAATTTGGATCCGTCTTTCAGTTCCACGGGTATGTATCTCTTGAATATGCGCACGTCTTCGCCGTACGGTAATTCGTATATTTTTACGGGCGTTCCGTTGGTGTCACATATGCGTACAAATTCGTAATCCGTTTCTTTGGACATGTACCGCATCGGTTGCGACAGCAACACGATCGAAGCCGGACCGGTGTTTGCGATTTTCAATTTGTATTCCAAATCATCGTCGTCGGTGCGTTTAAAAGCGATAAACACGTTCTGTTTGTTCATACCGATGGCCGCCACGATTTGTCCCGGTTTTACGAATACGTAACGATTCGTCGCTCTATCGGAATGATATATATCGGGTACTTGAACGTTCGAATTCGCGTAATTTTCCGTTTCCACTTTGGCCACGTCCCAATTTTTAAAAAATCTTTTAAATAATTTTTGACGGTCCGCGTACGAAATACCGGACACGAAACTTTGTTCTATCGAACCCGTCTTGGCGTACATCACGTCTACGATTTTCAATTTGTTACCGCACACGATAGTCTGCAAAATGTACAAATCTCCAGTCCGACACGTATCGTACAACAACGTGGCCGTAATATCTTTTTCCACTTGCACTGTAGGAATGGAAAATTGAGTACCGTCCCAAACAAGCAAAACGTTTTTCGTGAAACATATGACATAATGCTTGGTACCGTTGAACATGAGTTTCACGTACCCGTCGTACGAATCGTTTGTTTTGTTCGGTACGATCTGATCGTTTACGGTCGTCAGAGTCAGCGGTCGATAAATCCAATCCGGTAACGCGATTCTGGCGTTGGTTATATGACGCAAGGCGTCGGCATCGTTACTGTTGCATCGCGACAAATTGTTTTGAAAAGTAGACGGCGATTTAACGTATTCCAATAAAATATTACCGTTGTGCAACACGTTTTTTGTTTTGTTTTTGGTTCTCATCGAAACGTCGTCGACACCGCCGTTCTGTCTGTTCGTGAATTTGAAATCGTCGAGCGATATGAATTTATGATACGTAGCCAAAAAATAGCGTAAATGCTCTCGTGAAAACGACACGGTTATGTTTTCGCGTTCCAGAGCCACAAACAGACAATTGAACACGTCCAGATACATGGAATCTGAATCTGTTTTTTGTTTTTTCGTAAGTCCGTTAAAACACTTGGGCAGAGTGCGGACCGATCGTTTTCGTTTAAGACTCTTGGTTTTATCACAATCGGCGGTGTCCGAATTGTTGTCGGAATCGGCGGTACAACCGTCATTGTCGTCGTCATTATCATCATCATCATCACCCACTGCATAATCGCCGTCGTCACCACCATTGTCGTCCACTGCATGATGTTGATCGTTACCACTAGTAGTAGTAGTAGTGGTGGTTGTCATCGCAACCGCCACCGCAGCCATCGTTGACGGTGTTTTTTTGATCGAAAGTTGTTCTTTAGATCTGTTGACGTTCAATCGATACGTTCGTACGAATTTTATTAGATTTTCCGGAATTATTTCCAAGACTTGTCGTTTGCATTCGGCAGCCGTCTCTTCCAACAATTTTACAAAAGTATACAAATTTATACTAGAATTCAGAGTACCGCGTTTTTTCAACATCGGCGTAGTCGCAACGATCGATCTATCGTCTGCATCGTCGCCATCGTCGTTGGTGGTGGTCACAGCGACGAGCGATTTGAAATGATTCATCAGATGTTTCGGTTTTACGGGCACGCTGTTGTCTAATGCGTCGAAACTCATATCGTCCATTGTGTCGGTAAATCCAAAAGAAACACACGCACACAACCGGTTTATACGAGAACTGCGGTCAGACTGAGCGTATCGACGTACACGTGTACTATAATAAACCACTCGTACCGCGAGTATTATTTATTATCAAAAAATACGGTTACTGATAAATCAATACGATCGGGTATGAGCGTAGAAACGCTCGCGTGTACGCGATGTACGTGCGCGTGTGACTATTGATTTGGGTTATCGTCGAGACGAAAAGAGGGTGCCGTTGTAAATAACCGATCGTCAACCGTGTCTTTTTCGAACGAAAACCGTAGAAACACGGGATGTCTCAATGATTTTTTATACGTAATCTTATCCGCCGACACGGTGATCACGGTTCGTCGTCTGAACAACCCGTCGACGGGATCGACCAATAATTTTATACGATTGCGTACGGCGTCCGACAGTCCGCTAGCGACACGACACACCGGCACAAAAACGTCCGACCGACGGTTTTTGTAATAACCGCACTCCAATATACCGTACGTACCGTTTTTGTCTCGTAGCGCACGGTGCGCGTACAAATCGTATTCGGATCGTTGTTCGCGTAAATGTACCGGTTTCAATTTTATCCAGTCCCTGCGTTTGCCCGGCGTGTACGGCGTTCTCAAATCTTTGACAATCGAACCTTCGCCGCCAGCGCGTACCGTGTCTTCGTATATTTTCCGCAACCCGTCCAGCGTTCGGACGGCGCGCGATTTTACAATCCGGACTGTGTCCGATTCTCGTAACGCCGATCGCAACAACGACTGTCGGATTTCCAAACTCTCGTGCACTACGTACGCGTCGTCATAAGCTTGTATATCGAAAACCATGTACACTTGTTTGAGTGAACTGCGAATACCGGTATCGCATATAGATACAACGCGGCTGTCGATTCCGTCCTCGTCGTCGCCGCCACTGTGATCCGTCGAACATCCCGAATCCACGTATACCCGTTCGCCGTCCAATATAACCGATTTTGATTTATCGACCAACGTGACGTCGAACAATCGTTTGTCGGACAATGGTTTCAGCGTACGCGAAAAAAACGCCGTACCGCCGATCCCGTCCATTACGCACAATAACCGTTCGCCGTCGTATTTGGGTTCCACGATGAAATTTTCGTAACCTCGATCGTACAATGTCTTGTCGATTTTCGTAAAATCCATTAACGGATACGCCAACATCGGTTCTTTCGGTACGGTCAGTATCCGAACTCGTTGCGCGCCCAATGGTCCGTCGTTGTTATTATACGTCAATTTGCTTAATTTTGGTAAGTTCGGAATCGTGGTAGTGTCGTCGTCGTCGTCCACTGAATTTATCGGTATATTCAATAGTTTGCGTTTAATCATTTCAATGGGTGGACGTGACAACAGCTTCGGTGCCGGTGTACCGGAATTCGAAACAAAAAAACGTCGAATGTCGATAGACGACCACTACTGCGATGGTGTTCCGCCTCAACAGCAACAGACGACGAGCAAAAAAAGAAAACGTCTAGAATCCAAGACCGGGTCTGGCGTTGAATGTGTTTTAAAAAATGCGACACTCGGTGTGTCTAGTGACTATACGACAATCGCGCGTCGTAAAAAAAATTACGGTTACGATTATCGAGTGTTGGAGTACTTTGACGTACGGCCAAACTATCAGAGTTCCACTATACAACAACAATACCGCGAACCTGTTTTGATATCTGCGACCAACGATCTATGCGCCGGACTTTTATTGGACGATCGCGGCGGCGGTGATGGTGACGAAGGCAACGACGACGACGACAACGGTGGAGTATCGACAACCATCGATATCGACGAACAACACAAAACAACGAACAAAACAAGAACGACGACTACAACGGGTGTCGACGAGTCCGCGGAAATCGATAGATATCAAAAATTTAAATTTACAAAAACGAATAGAAACCACATTACTATGTATTTAAATATAAACGATGTCCCGACTTTGTGCCGTAAATGCTATTCCTTACAATGTATATGTTAATGTAACCGTTATAATAAATTTTTTTATTCGATCGATTTTGTTTTTTGTATAACACGCGCACGTACGTGCGCGTGTTACCGTCGATGTTTTTCAGTTTTCGTCGAACCGGTGACGGTTTCGCTTTTTGCGCCCATCACGAATTTCGTGAACACTAGGTATATGGCAACGATCAACGATACTATTATCGATACGACAGCCGCGTATTTTAGGTATTTAAAGAGATACGTCGATACGGACGTTATGCCGTCCCATAAATTTTGACCGGTACTCACGGCCATGTCGGTCAAGAGATCTATCAACGACGGATCGGACACGCATTTGAACGTTACGTTGTCGGTCAATTGTTTGGGATCCACGAATCGCGTGGATTTCGGATCGGCGGTCGTGTCGCAAACGCGACAAAACGGTATTTTACCGTTTTCTATGTCGGGATGCGTTAACGTGCACACGCCGTTATGGGTTATGTCGGGTAATCGATGTGCGTTCCGGACCACAAACGAGTCCACGACATCGTATTTGTTTTTAATGATTTGACCGGCGTTCGGCAGCAATTCGGTCACGGGCACGTCCAATTCGAACGCCAGGTTTTGTTTGAATTCGTCGACGTCCGATAAATTGATAATGTATATAAAGTACATGGTGCTGTTGTAAAATTGAATGTCGTCCGTTATGCACAACTTGACGTCGACCGTGTTTGCCGATCGAACGTCGCCGCACGTGTACCAGGAAACCCGGCAAGACGTCGATTTACCGTTTACCGTCCTGACCAGCCAACACCCCATGCGACCGACCAGCGCGTCTTTGAACCACGTATCGTTTACGACGACCGTGCCGATGACCAAAGCCGCACTACCGAGACCTACGTATTTTTTCCAATTTCTCTGAAAGTGATTCAGTTCCCGTAACGACGAATCCGACAGTTTGTCGATGTTGTTGAACGTCACGTTTAAATGAGGCCGTTCCAGTTTCGTGATGGCCGACACCTCGGCGATGTCGCGCAGAATTTTTTCCGGAAAATCTTTTGCGAAATCCGAAAACAATTTTTTATCGGCAACCGTTGCGCTCGGCGCGTTGTCTACCATCCGCAACAGACCGACCAGATCTCCGGATCGTAATATATGTTCGAATTCGTTTACGTGCAAACCGTTTACTTTTAAAAAATCGTTGGAACCGGATTTGGTCACTTGTAATTTACGCAAAGCGCCGTCGATCACGTCTACGCCCAAATCCGAAGAATTCAATACGTTTTTTAAAGCGTCTGCCGATTTGTCTGTGACGCCCGTAAATTTACGAACGTCGTCTAAGAGATTTTTGAAATTGTTTACGGCCGTACGAGCGACGGCGGTCGTACCGCCGGTACTGCGCTTCTCGCGCAAAGCACCGTCAGTTTTCGACGATCTAAACGGTTCCAACAACCGGTTCATCAATAACGACGATTCATCGGTTTTTTTCGCGTCGTCAATCGGCACCGACAATTCGGATACTGGATACATGATCGGTTAAATAAAGACGCCGGTCGTTTTTATGGAACACAACAGTGAGTTTATTATAAATCAAAATGAGCAACAGCACAACAATGAAAAAAGAAGAAAACATGATATGCATATATATACATAACTACATATAAGTAAATAATATATTAAATATGTGTAAAAAAAATCAATCAGTCGTCAGCCTTTGGTGTTTTGCATTTGTGTCGTCGTTGTCATTGCCGTTGCCGCCCTCCTCAGCGGTCAGATGCTTCGGGTTGTACTTCAAGTAGAATTGATATAAATTTTCGACAATATCCGCGTCGTCGTCGTTGTCGCGCGGTGCGGTTTCGGTGCACTTTTTAAAATCAGATTCTTTGAGCCGGTAAATGGTTTCGGAAAACCCTCTGCCCGTCACGATGCCGGGATTCTTGTCGGACGGCCAAAACTGTAAATTGTTTAACACCACGTACATGTAATCCTTGTCGGTCAGATCTTCGGAACCGTTCGCAAACGGTTTCAACAACGACGCCGCGTTTTGATTCCTGGTGGCGCTACAATTGAGTTTGTACACGTCGCGAGACAGCGCTTCTTTTACGTATTCTTGTACGTTTTCCATATTTTCCAAATCGAAATATTGATCTTTTCCGCGCACGCGCATGTACGTTGTGCACAATATAGGCGTTGTAAATTTAGCGATGACGCCCGAAACCGTCCGAGGATTGATTCCGTACATCTTAATTGGACCGGTGTTCAATCGTATGGCAAAAATAGCAAAATCGCTGGGCAACATAAATTTAGAAACTTCGCCGAGATTAAACAATATCGTATTTTTCTTATAAAAATCGGTCTTAAACAACGGATGATCGCAGCGTTGTGCGTTTTTATTGTTAAAATTTATGGGAACGTCCGAAGCGGCGGAAACAGATTCCGTGTTTGAACCGTCGTCGAATTTCCGTTTTCTGTGCAACAGCGCAAATTTACATTTTCGTATATCGTATTTTTTCACGATCATTTTGTTTTCTAAAAATAACGATTTGAATATCTTTGGAAAATTTTCGTACGAACCGTACAGGATTACAATGATTCCGAATATGACGTACGCCGTCATACTGGGATAAGCGTCCAGAAGATCGGAATACCGATCGCGGTACATGCTAATCAAAACGGTGGCCGCGATCGCATTGTCGTTGAATTGATTTATCGCCGAATACAACGAATCTAGCAATTCATCGTCGTCTATGACCGTCATCTTTTTAAATTTCTCGAAGTCCAATTTCAGAGTGTCCGTGAACAATTGTTCACAGGGTTTCGTATTGAACGTGGTGAGACTCGTTTTCGATTCGCCGAAGCGGCTGCCGCTGCTGCCGCCGACGTTGTCTTCTAATCCCTTTATAGAGCTGTTGTACATAGACGTCCATTTCGCCGTCTCCGCCAAATGTTCGAACATCGACGGAGCGTTCGAAACGGGTTGCATATACGCAGACGCCGCGTTGTTCACGCCGACGTGATTAGTAGTAGTAGCAGTGTTGTACGCAATTGGAGACTGCGGTGGCGGTAAAAAATGTTGTTTGTGCCGATGATGGTGCTGTTGCTGATCGTCCATCGTGTGCGCGTACGCGTTAAAAAAACAGATCACGACTTGTTGTTCGAAGCACCGTACCGGTTGCACTGTTGATCCGTGCGCTCGTTCTACGGTTTATATATATATAGTGCCTATCGGTACCTCCTTCCAATCACGATGACGAACGGCGACGGCGGTACGGCGACTCTGTCCGTAAAACAAGTCGAACGCAACGTGTCTGCGTTCGACGGTCTAACCGCGTGCGTTGCCGAATTCCGCGATGCGGTCGACACGTTCGAGACTCTGATAAAGACCACGGTGCCCGTATCGGACGATTCGAAACGTTACTTGAATGATTTACAATCGCTGATGGACGCGCTACGGGCGCTGTACAACGTCCCGAAATATCGGTTGACGTTCATCGATCCGGGACGCATGACCCGGAACGTTTGGGGCGGTATATTTTGGAAATTTTTACACCTCGCGTCGATACTGTTGCAACACGCGTATTGTACGAATCGCATAACTGGTTTTTTACATTTTCCCGCATTGCTGTACAACATCGACATAATCTTGTCGTGTCCCGTGTGCGTGGAACACTACAAAACCATCAAAACCACGGCCGCCTTACTGAGAATAATCGAAACCGCTTCGTTCGGTTTGTTGGTGGTCAGCGTTTATAAGTTCCATTCGCTGATCAACCGAAACCGCGGCATTCCCGAAAGCGCCGGTTTCGGCGAAATCGATTTCGCTCTGTTGTACCGGTGCTACCCGAGAAGTCTTACCGACAACACGATCAGTCTGACGTTCGTAAAACAACCGGTCGTGTTCCACGCACCCGATCACGTACGATTGTCGGCAATAATCAGCGTGTGCTACAACATCAATCTGTACCACGTGTCCAATTTACTGATGGAAACGTATAACCTCAAACCCGGAACGACCATTGTTCGTGAACCGGTATTCATTTTCGACAGTCGTAACGATTCGTTTGTATTACCGGATCGGACGACGGTACAACGGACCGTGGACTATTGTCTAAAGAACAAGAGACCGCCGCCGGAATGCGATTCGGAAGCGTTCAAAACCGAAAAAATGTATAAAAATATGATGCACCGGTATTGGCCGACGCTCGTGGGTTCGTACGACTATCGGATCACATTGGACGACGGGAAAACAGTGACGGTGCGCAACGGTGTATTGATAACGGACGATATCGCGGTGACGGACTCGGATCTACAGAACCCGATCGTCCGGAACCTGTCATTTACGAAATAATTTTTCAATCGTTTGCGAGACGCATACGCCCGTAGCTCTCACGGTTTTCGTATTGGGTATGGTTATTATTCTGTGCGAAGCGTCGAAACACTCGGCTTCCCGGTAATCGGGAAATTTTTTCAAATAATCAATACCGGACGGCAAACCGCCATTTTTATTATACGATTCGGTAATCGCGCGTCGTCCGGTTGTATACCGGGATCCAGACTCATGCACCGCAATTCGGTGACGCCGAATTGCGAGTCTCCCGACAAGTACGCGATAACGCCTTTGCGCGGATCGCACACCGATTTATCGCTAACGCGTTCGCCGCGTACCAACACGTTGGCGCAAGCGCCGTTCCGTACAAAATATTCGTTCGGTTCGCGGCACACCGAACGACACTGTTCGTCGTTTATAGCGTACACCAATTCGGTTTCGCAATCACGTTTGGACATGATTATCGGGGACGAGGCGTTCAGTAAATCGAAAACCGCGTCTCGTCCGGTTTCGAATTGCGATATATTGTTAATGAAATACAACAAAACCAAACACATTGCAATTAAAATTACGATAAACAATTGTATGATATATTTCATTTTATACAAATATACAAATCGTGTGTGTATATCATACCAACAGATATAATGATAATTAAAACTACAACTAAATAAGAGTGTGCGTTACATTTTCACAACGTTCAAAAGAAACGGACGCAAACGTTCAAAATGCGTATCTATATAACTTTTGATCGTATCATCGTAATTATACATTTTTTTTATTATTATAAAATTCACAAAATCGTCGTAGACAGAGGTCTCGTGATCCGTACCGCAACCACCATACTCTTGATTAGACGACGAAACGCATTGCGCGTTCTCCAAACAATCCAACACACCTACGTCGACGCGTGCACGCGACCTATACGATTTCCATACGGATCCGCCAAACGTTACGTCTACAACGCGTCCGTCGTATTCGGCGTACTGCCATGTAAAATATGCAAATATGCATTCGCACACACGCTCGAAAAACCCGTATTGGACGTCGTCTTCGCATTCGACGTCGATTTCACAGTGGTCGCTCTCGGAACCGTCTGCGCACGTTTTCATACGAAAAGCCACGCGTACCGTGTAAAATTCTCCGTCACGACCGATTCGTATAAAATACGCGTAAACATTGCAAATCTTTTTCGCAAATCTGCGAATGTCCAAAGTCTCGATGAACTCGAAACAACCGTTCATTTCGTTTTCGTGCGCTACGGAACAACGAACGGTTTTCAAACGAGACGAGTGCACCTTTTCGTGAAAAAGTCGTACTTTCGATGTCATCGAAACGCGCCCGGTATCGTGAGCGCGATCCAAACGAAACACGATTTCAAAATCGGATAGACCGTCGAACGCGGCGTGCCCCGTCGGGTCGACGTCGAAAACCAAACGGTCGGTGTCCGAATCGTACCCAATAAAGTTTTCGATAAACACGTAATACTGACGTTGAAACCGATAGATGAACTCGAAATCGGACGGTAACCGCAATCCGCGCAATTTGATTTTCGACGAATACTCGCGTTCGTTGGCGTGCGGAAACACGATTTTGGAACGTGGCGCTAGTTTCTCGTACAGTTTCGACGTTATACGTACGTCGTACGACAAAGACAGTTTCGTTTTAACGGCGCCTCGATCTTCGACCGTAAAAGTAGCAACATCATCGCAGTTACGTCGATTCTGTCGATCGAACACGAGATCTCGTTCGCACAAGACCCGGTGACTCGTACCGACGTCCACCGCGACCGGATTTTTCGTCAACAACGCACGCACGCCTTCGTCTCCCGTACACAATCTGTAATCAAACGTCCCAAAAAAATGGATTTAGTGTTATTGATTTTAATAGCGTTTTGCTCGTTGATAATGGTGTTATTGCATTGGTTACAAAACCCGGCGTCCCAAACAGACGATCCGGTCCAGGTTTATAAAAAATTACTAAAAAATAACCCTAGGACCGTGGCGTTTACGTTTGGTTGGATAAAATCGAAAAACGCTTATAAAAACGTATACGGCGCAGACGGATTGGACGACTTAACGGTCACGATAAAATACGAAAAACAACCGGTGTCGTTTGACGGCAAACCGTTGACAGTGTCGAATACTCACGGTGTCGTGACGTATACGTCTGACGGGTTTTCGGTGACCGGCATAAATTCCGACATGGCGTTTCGTTGTCCGTCCGGGTACGGAGGTCCGGAATGTAAACTAAAGCCGTTGTGCGATGCCGCGGACGTAAATTCCGTTAAACTACTGTCGCGCGATCATTTCAGAACGTTAAATTTATACAATTACACGGGTTCCGGTATAAACGCGAGTTCGGACGAACGCCCGTACCACCAACGTTTACGTATCCGGTGTCTGGACGTTTACGGAAACTTCACTATAGAACCGTGTGCGGACAACAAATTAGTGGACGAGCACACGGTCGGTTGCGTCACTTACGACCTGTGCAACGATCGGTTGAACGGATACAAACACAATTTGACCGTTACTGAAAACGCGGAACCGCTGACCGACGATCAGTATTACGTGTGCGAAGACAATAAAAGCGTACTGAAAAAATGCGCCAAAGGCACCGTGTTCAGTCGCGAAAACATGGGATGCATATCGGACAATCCGTGTTATGGCCGTAAAAACGATCGTATACGGATCGACGACAAATCGTATCTGCAATGCGCCGCAGACGTGGGACACATAAAATCGTGCGAACACGGCGTAAACGTAAAAAACGACGTGCCTTATTGTTCGGGCGCAAAATGCGAACCCCGCGTTTACGAATACGACGACGGGTTTTTGAGTTTCGTCACGGGTAAAATCGAATGTTCCGAAGACGGTTCGGAAGTTGTCCACCAGTGGCGGTTTTGGCAATAATTTTCTGAGGAGGCGACAAATAATTTCACATAAGAGACCTGTGGGGGGGGGCTTCGCCCCCCACATCCCTGACCCTATTTAAAAAGGAATAAAATCAAAAATGAATAATCTGTGATCTGTATACTAAAAAAGTAAAAACTCAATAGTAATACATTTAATTGATAAAATTGTATAAGTACATAGTTTTGTGTAAAAATAACTAGTACTTTCTAGTAGGTATAAAATATAAATAAAATATAAAATAACAATAAATAGGTAGGTATATCTAAATTTCAAAATTTGCACTTTTTTCTTTAAAAACAATTTAAAAGTAAAAATGCATTAAACAAATAAAATAATAAGCTCATAATATTTAATTTAAAAAAAAAATGATTCAATAAATCTCAACATACAATAAAATATTTTTAGTTATTAAAAACCAATTGACAGCATTTAGTAAGTATAACAAATAAAACAAGTGACTTTCTTATTTTATGTTATAAATTAAATCCTATAGATAAAATATTTGACAATCAATTTCATTACTGACTAGATAAATTTTTCTAATAAAAATACAAAATTATGTACACTTAACTGCTTAAAAATAAAAATATTAAGTTTTGTATATAAGATCAATAACTCTTTCTTTCTGACTAGCATACATATTTATGACATCATCAAAAAAAGGTTCAGTTTCTTTAAGTTGTTGTATTCATAATTTTTCAATTGATATTGTTGACAAAGAGCTTAAACGTTGTTGACAAGTACTATTTCTCAGATAAGTTTTGATTCTTTTTAGGCAAGAAAAACTTCTTTCAACTGAAACGCTTGTTGAAGGAATAGTTAATATTAATGCAAATAATTTATACACCTCTGGCATAACTTCTTTTAACCCATCACTCTCAAAGATTTTAATTAGGTCATAAACATGTTGAAGATTGTGATACCTAATATCACTGTACAAAACTTCTAATTCAGTTTTTAGTTTATTATTGTCTTGAAAGATATTAGTAAATGTATTTTTAAGACAATTCAAGCCACTATCAGGAAATCTAGTAGAATATTCTTTAAATTTTGTAACATCACTTAACTGTAAAAATTTTAATTTATCAGTATCACTAAATCTTGTATTCAATTGCATTATAATATTATCTATTATTTCATAAAATAACATTTTACAACTTAATTCATTTTTAGAATTTTGTCTTGTTGTTGTGGTATGTTTTGTTAATTCAACTGCGGTATTAAAATAGTTTAAGAAATTATCATCGTTCCTTTTTTTTTCTATGAGATCACATGTTGTTTTTATTTTTCTAAGACAATATTCTATGTCAAAGGATTTAGTTTGTAATGTATTGAATAAATGGTTAGTGATTAAAAAAATATCATTAAAAATGTGTGCTATAAAAGCAAACTCAAAAGACTTCAAATTTTTTGAATGCCCAATAGCACCACAAATTGATTCTGCAGATGATTTTGGGTCAATGCTAATAGTGTCAAAAACAGTTATAAAGTTAGGCCACTCATTGACTAACAAATTCAAAATTTTTGAACGCAAAGACCATCTTGTTTGAACAAATTGTGGAATGCGTTTTCCTACTATATAATCAACAACGTTAGTGCGTGAGGTGGAATTATGGAAAAAAGCTGAGATTCCAGTTAGATTTGCAAAAAATATACGACATTTTGAACTCATATTACAGCCATTTTGCAGTACCAAGTTTAACCTATGCGCTAAACAGTGAGTAAATATTGCATTGGGTGCAACATCTTTTACTCTCGCTTGTAATCCTGTCAAATGCCCTGCCATTACACTTGCCCCATCGTAACATTGGCCAACTAACTTTTTCTCTATGTCAAACTCATTTAAAACAGAACTTATCAGGTTAAATAATCCTCCGGCTGTATGATCATCACTTACATTATGAAAACCTAGAAATCGCTCAACTAATTCTGAATTTTTATTAACGAACCTTAAAATGATAGAACATTGTGTTTTTTGAGTTATATCAGTGGTGTCATCTATTTGAACAGAATAAAACATGCATTGTTTGATTTCTTGTTTGATATGACTAAACAAGTATTCAGAAATGCATGTAATTAAATCATTTTGAATTGTTTTTGATAAACCAGAAAACTTATTTTGAATACTTTTATAGTGGTTTTTTATTTCTAATGAACACCTACTAAAAACTATTTCAAAGAGCTCTTTATAATTTCCTTTATTTAAAGAATTGCTACTTTCATCATGGCCACGGAATGCTAATTCTTGTTTAGCCAAAAATATAATTATTTCAATAATGTGCTCCATAAATAATCTATTCAGTCTCACATTTTCGTTATAATGCTTTTTAAATAACTTTCCATGTTCACTGAGAGCATCAACAATAGTTACAGAATTTTTTTCTAAGTTTTTTAAGTTAAAATGATTTCGAATATGCTCCTTTGACAACTCATGTCTTTGTAAACTTCTAGGCAAATTTTTAATATCACAATACCCTTCAGTAGACCAAACAGACTTTGTGTGCCCTAATACCAAGCAAGGCCAACAAAATAATTTTTGTAGGTAATAACTGCCACATAGCCAAGAGTGTTGTTTATACCAAGCTACACTAAATGATCTAGAAAACACTTTGCCACCTTTTTTGTCAGAAGTTAAACATGATAAAGATGGAGTTGGTTTACCTTGCTCAAGTATATCTGTTTTATCACGAGTATTACATTGACTGAATGGAGTTCCAAGTAAACATACAATTGGGTCATATATTGGATTCATATTTTTATACAATAAGAACTAAAACCACGAATCACAAAAAAACTAGAAACACTCAAAACACTAGAAACAATAGGAAGTAGGGACTAGAATTACTATACTTATACTTATAATTGATAATGTCTTATAAATAATTGCATAGGGACTTATCAGTAATCACTAATGATTAATACAACATACAATATTACAAAATTAATTATTATAGTAACCAATAACTTCAATTTTCATAATTATTTACTTTTATGCATAGAGATATACGATTTATTTTGATAATTGAAAATGAGCAGTTTTGTGATTGTGTCACTGTGATAAGCCGCGAGGTTGATCCTTATCACTGAAGGAGGCGAAAATGTTTATTGCCGCCCAACTAGCAAAGCGCATGCGCAGTTCAAACGATTGTTTATGTGTGTGAGTGTGTAATTTCGTGTACACTTTGATAGCAAGGTAGGCAACAGAATCGGTTGCCGCCTCAAGCCTCTACAGCGGGCAGCTGTTGTAGTACAGTACGAAAATAACGTAATATTTTTAATATTTTTAATGCTTTTCCTATCATTGGAAATATTATACATAATTGGCCATTATAGGGGCGCATGGCATCCGTTTTAAAATTATTTTTTACAACAATACAATAATATTTGTACATTGAATAAAAAAAGTAAATAATATAAAATAAAAAAAAAAATTATAAAATAAATATTTTTAATCGGATATAAAAATTTTTTTTCTTTTTTCTTTTTAACTTTTCAAGGGAGGCGGTGCCTCCCTTGCCTCCCCGGGAAAACCGCCACTGTTGTCCACCAGACGTTGTGCGACGAACGTACGACGGACAAACAGTTGCAGTACGCTTGGGGTTCGAATCCGGTATACGTAGACATACTGAATTGGCCGAGTTCGGTGTTTGACGAACAACAGAAAAAATGCGTGGAACCGATTATGGAAAAAATAATAAAACCCGACGCGCCGCACTTGAAAGTACGGTGGACCGGAGCCATGGCCGATTACCACGATTTCGACGTTCGTACGAAAAAATACGTGTGCGAACCCGACAACGATCTCTTGTTGATGGACTACGTAAACGGATCGTTGGTGCCGACCGGTGGTGTAGTAGTGGACGTAACCGGAAAATTCCTGAATTACACCATACCCTGTCAGACCGTCAATGCACCGGTGCCGTATTTCGAATCGCCCGAGTTCCGACGGTTCGCCACCATGTCGAACAACGATAACAAATCAGTAGAATCTTATGGAAAAGCCACAGAGTTTCCCCTAATTTACGCAATACCCGTATCCGAGTCCGTAAACACTAAAGACGTGGACGCCTTGTTTTCGGCACCCGAACCGACGCCGGCACCCGAATCGATACCTGAACCGATGCCGATGCCTGAACGGAAACCAACGCCGATTTATTGGCCACGGTACAAAGACGGTTTTTATTATACGTTTGACTACGATCCGTCGGACAATCGGATAATGTACACGAAATCGGAAAAAAGTGTATTTGGATTTTGTGTATACGATCCCAATGACGGATCCGAATTTCTGTTTTATAACAATTACCGTGATTTCCGTCCATTTGTCGATCGTAAATTATTATACGTATTCACTTTAAACGGACAGATAAAAGTGCCCAGTGATCGTAACCCTTAGTGTCAAAAAATACAATCGTTTTTTATATATAATTTTTTTAATATCATATTATTATGTAGTACAGTTGAAAAAAATCAATCATCTATAACTATCGCGTTGTCTCGTGTTCTGTCGGACGTTAAATAGTCTAACATGGTAAACATATCATCGTCACCATTATCGCCGTCGTTGTTGTCGTCGTCGTCGTTGTTCTCGATAACTTTCACTTGTGTCATGCTCAGTTCAGTTTCGTCAAACGTCGTATAACTCACAATGTTTGATCGGCACAACGGACACTGGCGCGACGATGACTGCAACAGTGTTCGATTGCAATCTACGCACATCGCGTGTTTACATTTATCGTAAACAACGTTTGGTTTGTATTGTTCTAAACACACGGGACACGCTTCATCGGTAAAAGCCCAGGCGCACTCGTTCATGTGTTTTTCGATATACCGAGTACGCAAGTTTTTACGGTGTTGTCGGTTTTGGTCCAAAACGCGACGTTCTATTTCACAATTCAATTCCGATATATCCGATTTGACCTTTTCCAAACGCGTTCGACAATTTTCTATGGCGCGAGTGTGCTTGGATATATTGTGTTCGTATCGTTCGCTTAAATAAGCCATGTGGTCCCGTTGGTTTTTCAACGATTCGAGCGATGTTTCGTTTTCCAAACTCGACGCCACTCGTTTTTTAGATGACGGTGCTGGTTTATTGCAATCGATTTCTTCGTGATCGGATAGTGACGGAGGTGTACACGCAGAATACGACGTAGACGGTGTCGGACGATCGGGAACATCGTTCCGTAAACGTAAAAGACGTGTTTCGATAGTATCACCGCCGTCGTCAATCCTCGATCTTTTTGTTGGGCGCACTATGGTTTGACGAAGCAACGGTGTCTCGAACGACATTGTTTTTTTCTCAGAAAATCGATGTGTCCGTGCGCTCGGTTCGAGAAATACTGATTGTCACAACGACGACGCTACGTCTTTATATACATATATGTACACACGCGCGCAAACGTCTGTTCAACGTTTCAATTCGTATAAAGCGTGGCTTACGGGTAAAATATCGGTTATGCCCCGAACGGGCACCACTAAATTATCGTATTCCGGTGTCCAATTGTACGGCGAATCGTCCACCAAAACCGCGTATATTATACGACAATCCGTACTAAGATAATTGTAAATGTTTAATAAATTCTTACAATTTTGAACGTTTTTATCGTCGACGTCGTTTAAAACGAGATCGAAGTTGAATTTCAACCGAGCAACGTAATTGTTTACGTGTAACGAACTGCCGTGCGACCACAACACTACAAAATCATAGTTTTCTCGAGCCACGTTCAAAACGGTTTCGTGGTTTTCGAATAATTTACAATCGACGGGATTGTCGTCTATGAGGGTTTGGTCTAAATCGAACACGACTACCCGTAATTTACGTAAACCGTACGTCGGTACGTTCGCGTATTTTTTTGCCCAATTCGACGCGACCGCCACGGCGGTCGGCAACTGTTCGACCGTCGACCACTTGTACATGGCCGTACAACACACGTTTGGATCGAACTCCTCGGTATCCAGCCACAGTAAAAATCGTGGCAATTTGTCTTGTATAGTGTACATGCGCACGCCGGATTTCGGTAGACGGTACGTAGTGGACGCATAATCGTCTACAATAGTGTCGTTTTCAATATGGGCATCAGTGCCGCCGTGATAGTTTTCCAGAAACAGCGATTTTTTCAAAATAACGTTCTTTCCGTACACCAGTAGAGCGTTGACGTCGCGGGTCGGTATACGATCGCACACATACACCGATGAAAACAATCGATTCAACGCCTCGCGCACTGCGGGACTGGAAACGTATGCACGAAAATAAGGGTGTACGACCAACGTGGCGGCAGCGGCACTCATGACGCGAACGCGCAAATGTACATGTAAACTAAACGCCGTTTACTATGTATATGCGTTACAAAACGTTTTGTTATTACTTTTTTTGTTCGTTACGTATGTTTACTTTACATGTCTATTATTTACCTGATCAAGCATACGATTATACGTAAATAAAAAACCAGTGTCGTCATTTTGGAGATTAAAGCGCAGGCGTATAATCGTGTGGTGGGAGTGAAAAAAATCCGTATAAATACAGGTGCGGCCTCGCGCGCGCGACAGACTCTGTCCAGTAGTATAGTGGTCGAGGACGGTGTCGTCCGTCTCCCAGGGAACAGGGTGACGGCGTCTACCGAGGTAATATATATACGTATAAGGATAGGGCGCGGGACGGGACGGAGAATAATAGTAATAGTGATTTTCTGAAAAAAGTTTTTTTTCCGCGCGCCGTACGTACGCCGCGCACGGTCGACGTTCTCGTCGTCGTCGTGTACGCGCGCGCGCGACGTCATCGATGGTACATAATAATAATAGTAATAGTAATTTTTAGAAAAAGTTTTTTCTCCACGCGACGCTCCCGTCGTTCCCACATAGAAAAAATGCAGTGGCGTATGCGCCGGAATGGTTATCAGTGGGCACCATGTACCGTCGGCGCATGCCCGAGCCGCGGTAGCGGTCTGGTACTCGCTCTCGCGGACGAACCGGTCCTAGCTAAGCGCATTGGCGTATGCGCTGCATTTTCTATGTGGGCGTGGAAAAACTTTTCTAAATGCCCAATATTAACCAATGTACCATCGTGGCGACGCGCGCCGCATACATTGGCTGGCGCGTCGACGCACGCGGCGCACCGCTGGCCTCCTCGGCGCTTTCAGAAAATCACTATTACTATTATTCTCCGTCCCGTCCCGCGCCCTATCCTTATACGTATATATATTACCTCGGTAGACGCCGTCACCCTGTTCCCTGGGAGACGGACGACACCGTCCTCGACCACTATACTACTGGACAGAGTCTGTCGCGCGCGCGAGGCCGCACTCGTATTTATACGCGTTCGCGCGTAATCTTCGATATCGCCCCTCCAATTCCTTATCATTGGTTTATGTGTGTGTATCGTAATGTATAATATTATAATAACACAAAAACGCACAAACGAGTTATCGAACAACTCGTATCAAATTTCGTTTATACATACACGCATACCACACATCCAATACAAACATACACACATACGGTGTACATCAAATAATGTTTTTTTATCCAATTTACGCGTTTATTACATATATACAATGAACAATGGACATATGCGCACATCCAATACATACGTACGGTGTACGTTGAATAATGTTTTTTTATTACCGTATAAGGATTTGTATATAAATATTTAAAATATAACAGATAAAATTTATAATATTATGGGTTTTTTTGTTTATAAATATATTCATAAACGTAATTATTTGACGACGCTTTTTATAATGAACAATGGACGTTCCGTATAAGGACATAATACGTGTTGTTTTGAAACTTGGTGTCTTTAAAAACGGGAAAACGCCGTAAAATCAATCATAGTGTGCTCGCGTGTGTCGACCGACGGACCCGTCATTATGCATAAAACGACGATATTTATGTTTTTGTGTTGTGCGAATGTTGCGTTTAGTTTGACCGTCGAACGAGTTGTCGGTATAATGAATCCATTAGAAAATTTAATTTGTACATGTCGTATGATCGTTGCAACCGATCGAAATCACGGTACGTTCGACACCGATGACTACAATAATTATACCGATTACGGAGATCGTTATTGGTTTGGTGATTCAGATTCTAATGAGACGACAACGACAACAACTTTACCGTCGATGCCACACGTTTCAATCGATCCAGAGCCTACCGTTGTTGACGGAGGATCCGGTACCGGATTCGTTTTGAATCATTTACCCGGCGGTAATTATTACATAAACGGTGTGTCTGATTTTGAGGTCAACGCCGAAAACATTACGAATTTGAATAAACTGTTTCGTAACGTCAACGCTGAATACTCCGAGCTTTTTAATATATCAACCGATGACGCTGGATTGCATCACAACATCAGCATGTCGATATGTAAACCGGAATCATATTACAAATTATCCCCGAACACTACATGCGGACAGTACATATCGAATTATTCGATACGGGTTTTATGGTCGAACGTATGTCCGGATTTGTATCGTAATCTGGTTATTATACTTTTTTAATATGTACAAATTTTTTAGATTAAATGTGTCTAATTTGTAAGAACGTTATTCGTATATTTTTTAAATTTGTTTTTTTAATTTATGGTTTTGTACAAAAAAATTGTACATGACAACCGTGATTCGTGTTTGCATTATTTATATTTGTATGTTTTTTTTAATCATAATATATATGTATATATTTGTTATTTTTGTACATGCGTTATTTTTTTTCTATAACTGAAATTGGCATCAATGCGAATGCACGTCGGCGGACGGGCGTAGCCGCGCGCGGTTGTGCGCACGTCTCATCGTTACTATATATATAAACGTTGTAGTCCGATAACCCGACAATGTTTTCTTTGTGACGGTATCGCAAACATTGATAACGTTTGCGTGAGATAGTATAACAAGTTGCACGCGCACGAACAAACGTACATAATCATGAACGCGTCGAAATCCGGTCGCAATTCTCGAGACCGCGGTAACGCCGATAAATACAAAGTCAATCAAAAGACTTCGGCGTCGACCGCCGGAAATTCGTCCGCTGGTGGTAGTGGGTCCAGTAGTAATAGAAACGACCGCGAACCGTTCGGTTCGTTTTGTCGAAACGTATTGCACACACGACAGATGTACGAAAATCTACGAAATTCCAATATGTATACGTACAGACGCGACGACGATCGCGATTCCGGAATAGAAATGTAACGATCAACAACTTTACTGTTTGTATCTTAGTGTAGTTTTAGATTTATAAAATTTGTTAACGGTGTTGGATTTTTTATACATGCGGTTTTTGTACTTTTGGTATTTGGGTGTATTTTTTTTGTTTGAAATAAAAAAATTTATTTAGTACGTTAAATACTTGTATTATTTTTTATTCATCATAATCACATTTATGTATAGAGAAAAAATTACAGTGTTGTACATTACATGCATACATAAATTATGATATTTTTTTCATTACAATTGTTATACGCAAAAAAAAACTATTAACGTCGTTACAATGCGCGCGCGCAATGTCGAGGTTACGATAAACGCGTAATGTTTACGCGCCCGTTTATTTATTATACAAAATCATCGACGGCGTTGTTATTGTAATACATGTTCGACGTCGTCGAATAACGATAAACGTGCGCGGTACATTAAATGATTTTTTTACATTTTTTAATTTTGGGGACGCCTAGGGATAAATTATAACTCGACACGTCTACCACGGTTTTACTGTGTTTACAGCGTCGGTGTTCGCGACAAAAAACCGGAGCGTTTATGCATTTTCGACATTGGGCGCAAGTTTTGCACATCCTGTGTTCTTTGTGTCCTTCGATTGTGTTCTTGTTGATGTTGCCCATAATGATGTACACCGATTCCCAGGGAACGCGTTTCAAACAGTACGTCGTTTTCGGACAGATCGTCGTCCGATCGTTGTTTTCGCCGGCGTGCACGTCGGACAACGTTAGAACCGACACCCGTACGCATTTTGTACTGCAACTGCAAGCGCTGCTAGATTTCAATTGAACGTACAGTTTACGAGGCCATACGTGTTGTACGTTTATTTTCGACGTCACGTGCGCCCCGTAAAACGAACGTTCGGTGGACGCGTCGTCGTCGTCGTCGTCGTCACGTTTCAACGATTTAAAATTTAACGTCGGTACAAATCCATAATATATACATCGGTTGCCTTCTATCGAACATTCTTTGTAATGATACGCTAAAATCTGACCGGTGCAGACGCGATCGCGTAAACGGTCGCGCGTTATGGCCAAAGACCGCGAAAAATTCGGTAAATGAGCAACGTGTATCCAACACTTTTGTTTGTTTTGTCGAATGTTGCGCGGTATGCACCGATGACTATGTTCGTCGTTGTTTGACGTTTCGGCACGCGGTTTTCGATCATCCGTCATCAAATAGCCGGTAATGTCGAAATCGCTTAAAATTGTATAATCTTCCAGATCCGTGACAAAACACCCGATTTTGTTGAACGTGAATTCGTTATCATCGATTTTTAAACGATCGGTCGCATAATAATGGCTTTCAAACATGTGTTTTTCCGTGACTTCGAGCGTCATCGCGCCTCGCTCAGAGTTCTCTAAAGAGATCCGCGCACTTGACAAAATCCACAGACGTCGTGTCCGCAGCGAATTTCGGATGAGTCGTTCCGAATTTTTGTAAAAAATTCAATAGTATGCACGATTCTGCCGCTTTATTGGTGATGTTGTCTATACCGTCGACGGCCTCGGTCAATTTGATGTCCGACACCAGTGTGGCGTTTTCTATTTGCCGACGGGGATAAAGGTGCAATCGACGTCGACGTTTGTAGAACCGGTACAAGGCTTGTCTGACACACTCGATGCGCGCTTTTTCGCCGCCGACGCGTTCGCAAACACAAACAGCGGCGGTATCGATCGAGTCTCGGTTTACGGAGGACGTGTTGCGATCGCGATTCATCACGCGTACATCGCGCGCGTGTGTGCGTAGTAATCCATCGAATCGACCCGGTGTTACTAACGGCCGTCTGTTCTCACTCTATATATATATATGGCGCGGATTGTGCCGAATCACCGATCAGTGCGCGTTGACGTGTGGATCTGGCGCGACGCTCTCTACATATAAAACCGATTATGTACGGGAATCGAGACAACGATTATTTTCGCGAAGCCCTAAACAACACCGATTCTTATTTGTATAAAAAAATTTGTAAATCGGGTCCGGTGGTGACTTTTCGTCTGTTGGTCTCTGAGAGTTTTGATTTACGATCCGGTATAGCGGTACACAGAACTGAACCGATAAACAGTGAATGGCCGTCGACCGCGACGGTTGTAAAATCAAAATCTATTGCCGACGCCACGCTTGAATCATGAACGCCGAATTCGATAGTTACCGATATCAATATCAAAACCAATTGAATTGCGAACAAACGGTTCGATTGAACGCGCAACTCGACGAGTGCCTCGAACGGGATTTGTGTTTCGTGGTGGACTGGTACGACGATTCAAATAGAATCGTGGGCGTAGGCTGTTCGTATCTGGAACCCGATCGAACGGTGCGGTTAACGTTGCGCGCGTCTCCCGGATTGTTCGTGTTGAGCGGAGACGTCAACACCCTACGAATAGTAGCACAGCTGTACGGTTACGACACCGTGCACGTTTACAAACACGCGACGTACAAATCGAATAATTTTACGATATTAGACGTCATGTTGGACCGCGATCGGGTGTTGACCGTCGAAAATTATTTGTGCAAAATCGAAACCCCCACTACGGTAGACAGTAAACGTTTGCACGGTATTTTTAAACGAGACAACGACACCAAATATAAATTTGCAGCGGTGAGCAATTACTGGGACGTGACCAAACAAGTGATGTTCGAATTGATTTGCGCCAAACGTCGGATCGACGCGACCGATCTGACGGTACCGAAAATAGCGTACAGATGGTTCGATGCCGATCTGCAACCGTACGCCATGGCGGATCCCATAATTCCTACGATTACGTTCGACATAGAAACAGTGTCTACGGATCCGTATCGAGTGCCCACGGGCGAAGACGAGGACGACGTTCTCTTCACGACGTCGGTGCATCACGTCGACGTCGGTATATTGTACACACTGGTGTATCTGCCCGTCGACGGCGTCGAAGCCGACACGCTATTGGCCGAAATGCTAAAACTCGATGAATACCACGAATACGAAAATCAGAAAAACGTAATCGAAGTGTATACCGACGAATTGGATTTACTGCGACGCACGATGGACCTGTTGCGATACCCTCCGGCTGCTACGCCGAACTCTAAAAAATATTATCCTACGACCAACAACAGTTTGCATTACGTGATTGGGTACAATTCGATGCGATACGATATGAAATATCTGTTATTGCGGTGTCAATTTTACGGTATACACGCCGACGGGTTTGTGTACAAAAACGGATACTCGTTTGGATTTCAACAGATTCACGTGGACTTGTTTTGCGTGGCCATGATGCGGTATAAATTGAAAAATTATAAATTGGACACGTTGAGTTCGGACATTTTAAACAGTCAAAAGGAAAACGTCGACGCCGTAGCTTTGCGATTCACGTTTCATCATATACGCAAACGGCAGCGGTTGTTTGTTCACGGTGACGCGTACATGCGTCAGCACGGCATGCCGTCGCTGCGAGACGTTTTGCATTATAACAATCGAGACACGCTTTTGGTCAGCGAACTCGTACGGAAAACCGACGCGATAAAATACGCCGTAGAGTACGCGCACAACAGTCGGATACCGTTGAACAGCATCAACACCAATTATAATAAAATCAAATACCGATTACTGAATCAATGCGAAGTGACCGGTCTAGAATCCGGAAAATACCTGACCACGCTTAAAACCAGCAAACAGACACTGATAATACCGTTGCGCGTCGATCAATTACCTCTGACCGTGGACCACGATCGTTTAATACCGCACGATTACATATGCCGAGATGTAGACAACGAAATTTTATTGGGCAGTAAAATTTTGACTAACGGTCAGAAAAAAAGTTACCCGGGAGGCGTAAACTATTGTCGGGGCGAATACGACGTGCGGGATGTCCAAGAATACGATTATAGGATAGCGTATCCCATGTTGATGGATCGTTTAAACCTTTCCGACGAAACGTGCGCCATCATGACGGCGTTGGACGTCGCGTCGTTGTATCCGTTTGTAAAAAACAAAAACGAATACCGGGTGTTCGATTACAGCACGCACGCCAGCGACAGTAAAACCGGTACACGGATATTATTGCACAGATACCTGTACGACGATCTGGATCCGGGAACCGAGTTCGAATTCACCTTTCAAAATTTGTTTGAACGAAAAAACAAACCCGTAATAATCATATGGTACGCGCAAAACGTGTATCGAGGCGTGTTGTCGGAAATAATTAAATCGTTTAACGTTAAACGACAATCGGCAAAAAACAAAAGGTCGTATTTGGCCAATCGCTTGGACTACGTCAACCGGACTATAGAAGAAACGATATTTGCGGAATACGAAGAATCTATGTTATTGAAATCTGACGACGCTCAAACGCCCGTCGCAACAACACCGACGACGAGTGCCATCGATGAGGGATTTTGTGCCGAAGATTTTGACTGTCAACCGATAGGTAGCGACAACGACGACGACTGTCAACCGATAGGTAGCGACAACGACGACGACTGTCAACCGATAGGTAGCGACAACGACGACGGTGGTGGCGATGATCACGAAACCAATTCAACGATCGTTGATGCCGATACTAGGAAGAAACCATTTGCGTTTAAATCCAAATACAATTTTCGTAATCCGTACATTGAAGAACACGTCAACGGTGATTTAGAATTCTCAATACCTGACGACGTCGACGGACCGGAACGGTTGATCGTATTAAAAAAAATTCGCGAAGATTTACAATTGGAACACGATGCTTTGAACAATTTATACCTCACGTTGAAACCGGTCGTAGCCAGTATATACGGCGTGATTGGCGCCATGAAACCCGAAATGGCCGCCGCTATCACGTGCATAATACGCACGACTCTGTTAAACGAAGCCAAACACGCGATATCTATCGGACGCGAAGTGTACTATTGCGATACGGATTGCATACAAATGAATTCCGGTACGGATTTGTCGAACGCCCTAAACACCCGGTATCCCTACACGGAATTGGAAATGAACGAAAAGGGCAGATGTCTGTACGTACGACCGAAAGTCTATTATAGATACGTAGACGGCCGCATTAAATACGGCGCAAACACCAACGGGCCGCAAATATGGCGGCGGGCCGTCGAATATTTCGAACGATACGATACCGTGACCACTAGTCGGGACGTGTTGCAAGCGTTTCGAGATTTTTATAAATACGTGTACGATTGTGTACTAGAAGCGTGCGATCGCGGAGACGATTCCGATACCGAAACCGGATTTCGGGGTTTTGAAATGCTCACGCAAGAGATCAAAATAACCACACGGGAATGTACATTGGACCTACGTAAATATTTGAGTGCACGTTATCCGTCTTTGGCCGGCGCGTTCCGTCAAACGGCGTACTATTATCAAAACGAAAACGATATAACGCAGACGATTTACAGACCGTCGATCGAGATATGTTCGCGCGAAAACGAAACGTTTGCCGATCGAAACGAACCGTTGCGCACTCGTCAGATTGCACGTTTACAAAACGTCAATCTTTTTAAATTTTTTTACAGTTCGTTTAGCACCATATTCAATTTGTTAAATTTTCACGTTAAACGCAACAACGAACCGCATTCCGTGTCTCTGAACGACACGCACGTCCGATATTTAATGTTGTGCGGTTACTTGGACGTTTATCATGTTTTTTTGAAAATGAAAAACCGCGATGATTACAAATGTTTATCGTTTTTACCTAAATCGGATCGCATCGATCGATCGAAACGTATGAAAACCGACAACGGCGATGATGGTGAAGAAGAAGAGCAATGCATCAACACTTTGGAAATCGCAATGTCCGATGGTCGTACCTACGATGTCGAGTGCTGTCGTCGACACTTCGGCACAGATGTTTAAATTCTTATACGAATTTTTTTGTACTACTTGTAATCATTGTGATATTTTCACTATTAAACCATTGTTGTATTTATATTATATTGTTGTATTTTGCATTTTTTTCTATAGAATAAGTAAAAAATCATTACGATTTTTATTATTACGAATTATTATCAAACGATAATAATTTACTACTATAGGACCTTTGAACAACGATAGTGACGTGTAGATGTAACAATAAAAACTTACATCTGGAAATTTGGTATGTTCTGAATCCTGCTACTTATAAGGTTAACAACTTGGATTTAAAAATAATAAACGTCTGATTTAATAGTAGTACATAACAACATAAAATTTAACATCATTATAAATAAATATAATTAAAATTCGTATAATATAATATAATGTATATAGTGTTATAAATAAATATAATTAAAATTTAAATAGATAATATAATATATATATGGAACATGTAAAATTGTATAGTGAAAAATTCGGCGCGCACCCGTCCCAGTGTCGATCGTGAAAATACTAAATCGTAACGAGAACAATGACTGATTTATTATTTTCACGATCGACGCTGAGCGCGTTCGCTCATCGCGTCGTCGACGCCGGTGCTGATTTTCTTTTAGATTTTTTTCTGTCCGTCATCGGTACGTCCCAGTTGTAACGTTTGCACAAATCTTCAAATACCGACTTCAACGGAACGCGCTTTCCGAAATTTTTGTCCAATTTGTTATACGTAAACACGTACATGTCTTTCGTCGACTCGATCTTGGGCGTCATTTCGGTAAACATTTTTCCGCGAGCATCAAACAACAATGGAGCTTTGTACCGACAGTCTATACGGGTTGTCAGAAACCGTTGTACGTAATCGAATTCAACGACGCCTTCGACCAACAAGGTTTTTATTTTTTCCGCGCACGGCACGCAAGCGCTGACCGCATAGGTTTCGCTGATCCGCATGTTCAGCGTACCGCTTTTGGGCACATCGCACAGATTGCAACCGCGAGTGCTCCGTTTGTTCCGGTTCAACGCCACGTTTGTAACGAGCCCAAAAGTCCGTATACCGTCCACGACCTTGTAAACCTCGTCACCGGTCAACAAGTATTTTCGTAAATTGTTCGACGTGACGGATCTACGACGTTTGTTATCGTCACGACGCTGTTGCGACGACGATCGAATAGAGTTCTGGGAAACGGCGACGTTGGTGGTGGTGGTGGTGGTATCGTCGCACAGTTTCTGACGTTTTGGCGGTTTCACAAACGGAGTTCGGTTCAGGTATTTCGCGATATCTTTTGGAACTATGCCGGCGTCAAACAAAACCTCGCTGTATTCTCCGTCGATCACCATCAGTTCGGTTTCCATGCGTTTTCTCTTGATAGCGCCGACCGTTTCCTTTACGTTGATTTCGTGGTCTTTTACGCGTAACGATTTCTTGAGCTCGTCAATGTCCGCACGCAAACGTTCCAGGTCCGCGTCCGACGGCGTTCCGGAATCGATCATCATCCGTTCTTGTTTCTGGCGCTTCAACAGCGCGTTCAATAAATCGTCCTTGTCCAAACGGTCTTGATACGTATCACAAACGTCTGTTTCGCTGTCACTATCGTTGAAATCGGACATTTCTCCTTCAGGGATTCCTAAATCTACCACGTCACGGTTCTCGCCGCTCAACTCACAGCCGTCGTCGTCGTCGTCATCGGTCTCGTCGTTTCGAAACAAATCCGAATCCGACCGTTCGGGAAACATAAACGCACCGCGTTCGTCGTAATAGGCGGAATTATCCAGTTTTTCATCGTAATCGCAATCGTCGTTCGCGGTACCACCGGTCAACCATTCCGGGTAGTCCAGACGGAACGGTATTTTTTTATTGAGCAAAACGTGTTGCGTTTCAAACGTTTCCAACCGTTTTATGAAAATGCCGGCACACGCCGGTGCACTGATGCGTACAGAATTTCCGTTTTGCGCCAAAACGGGTCCGAGTATCCAGAGTAAAACGTCGAAACCCAAATCTACCAGCACCCGTCCGACCGCCGGATCAATTGAAATCTGATTCGCGTCGAAATTGCAATATCGTTTCTGCTGGTTTCTCAAACAGTCCACAAAACTGCCGCACAGTTTACGTTTTACGTTTTCGACGGCTACGTCGACTGCGTTTAACAGATTTCCGTAATATCTGGGCCATACATCGTGATTGAATATTTTCAAAAAACAAGTGATGTTCCGTAACGTGATTTCTTTTTGGTGCACGAGCGCGGTGTCCCGTAGGTATTGGACAAAGTAGTGAGCGAAAATCATAAAAAAATTGTCCAATTTGATCAACAACTTCAACGGTACGTCCGCGTTTGTTTTGAAAAATTTGTGAAACATCGACCGCACGTCTCTTTTGGTGATGACGGTATCCAAAGTCGCGTTGTTCGTCCGTTTGTTGGTTCGACCGTCGACCGAACAGTGTTTCTTGTACGCGACCGACACGTCGGCGTCGTACGCTATCTTGTTGACGTGCAGACAGCGGTCCCACACGCTGTACTCGTTCGGAGACCGTTGGGTTTCCGCGTACATGCCGACCATTTGAGCAAACCAATTGAATATATTTACGCGATTTTTTATCAGATGATTGTACGTGTGGCTGAACGCGACGTGATGCACGCCCAAGTCCAAACACACCACCGACCACAGTTTCACATCCGTAGCGGACACGCAATTGTTGTTGTACACGAACATCATCAGTTCCTTCAATACGACCAGAGCCATTGTCTGAATTTTCCGATCGTCGGAAAAATACATGTACCGTTTATACGATTTTAAAATTTCCCGAATTTCGGCGTATCTATCGATTTTATTCGCGTCGGGCGTTGCATTCAACACGGATCGAAAAGCCTTTTTAAAATTATGATACAGATACAAAAGTACGTCTTTTTTGCTCTTGCGATTGACGCGTTCGTTGTAAAATCGCAAATCCTGAACCGATATCCGCCACAAAGCCATAACCATTAGTTCCAATTCGCCTTCGAACAGATCGTACGGTTCTTTGGATCGCGATTTTACCAAACGTCTAATTAACACTTCGACGTGCGAATTGTACATCAAAGGTACGAAACCGTAACGCAGTTTATACGATCTCGGGTAAATAGAGTGGTTTACGATCGGTAGTGTCTCTTGCGGAAACCCATACATGTTCCGGTCCATGTATTTCAACATGGTGCCCAGATCGGAAGGCGCGATTTTCAATTCGACGTTCATTGCGCGTTCCGCGTGCGTCAATATATCGTACAACGATACGTACCCGTCGGCGTCCAAATTCTCCAAACCTTTGTAATGTGACACGCGCATGGTCGGCGGCACGTCGGCGTTTATAAATTTCTTCAGCTGTGCGTGCCTGTCCATCGGATCCTTAATGGGTTTGTATTTTTTTAACAATGCCGCGTGTTTGGCGCGCATTTCGGATTCCGAAACGTTCGGAAACGGCACCATTATCGAATCGTCTTCGGATTGAGTTGCGGATTCGTCGACCACGAATTCGTATTTGGCCAATTCGTTATCGGTATCTCCGACGCGAACCCCGACATCCAGAGATCCGCACAACAACCTACTGGAACGTCGACGAGGCGCCTCGTCGACGATCGACGTAATCGAAACGTCGACGACGTCCAGCACCGCCGTCGGGTCTTTTTCTTCGCCTTCGTCGTCATCGCCCCAGTCAACGTTCAACAAATCTCCAATGTTTTCCTTGTTTTCAAACAATTGACGTTTACCGTCATCGACGCGTTTCAATATTCTTTTTTTTAACAGGTCTACCGCGACAAGTGTTTGCGAAGACATTTCTCCGTCGTCGTCGTCACTGCTATTATCGCTGCTACTGCTACTACTACTGCTGCTACCGTCACTACTACTGCTGCTGCTGCTGCTGCTGGTGGTGGTGCTATCGCTGTCATTGCCGTCCACTTTGGCGGCAACGATATCATCATCGTCGTCGTCGTCATCGGTATCGTAGAAAGCAGCACAACAGTTTTTGGCTGCGCTCTCTTCGTACAATTCTTTTGTACGTTGCATAGATTTGCCTCTAGATGGCGGATACTGCTGTATATTGCCCAAAGTCTATACAACGACATGAATAAATTAATTATTATTACATACACACACGTCGATCCCAACACCGTTACGTACCGTATTTGTATTTATATTTGTTTCGACAAACGGAAACTCCGCAACGGCGTCGAATTCGTCGATCAATTCTGTACAAACAAAAAAATACGTACGTTACTTTTACATGATTTGAATTGCGCGCGCGACAGACTTACCCGAATCTTTTATAAGGTTTTCCAATTTATCGTTGGGTTTCGACGACGACGACGGCGCTTGGTACGTTTCGAATATTATCTGAGTTTCGAAAAAATCGTCCGTAACGAACGACACGCTATCGTCGACGGCGGCGGCGTTGTGGTCAAACGACGGAGTCGTGATCAATTCGCTCGTAACCGAATCCAAAAAATCGAACGCTTCGCTGTCCGTGATCACTGCTGCTGTTGTATCCATTGTGTTTCTCCCACTCGTTTGAATAACTCGTAAAACTAATAACACATGCGCACAAACATGGGTACACGATTTTCGAAGCGGCGCGCGCCCGGAGCGATCGGTTGACTTGTCGAAATGCGCGCACGTCGAGCCACTGAAGTCGTCACACTGAAGCGCACTGAACGAAAAACGACGACGCCCTCTCGGTTTTATACCATGTACGCCGAGTCTTATCGCGCGTCACGTCGCGATAAAGTAAACAATTATGCGCACAAAACGAATCACGTAAACACCAATTAAAAATCGTTTAAAACCCAATTAAAAATCCTATAAAAATTACCTTTATGGCTTACGGAGAAAATTCCTATTAAAAACGTCATGTAAAAACCCAGAACTTGAAATCCGCCGAAACTGCACGTACTTTCCGCGTAATCAAACCGACACGTACGCACGTTGGACGAGCACCGTGTTACGCACGAATCGGACCGGTTTGCGGGCGCGTTGGGTTTTTTTCCGCGCCGATTCGGTATCGCTACGGCGTACACGGTTTTACGCACGAATCGGACCGGTTTGCGGGCGCGTTGGGTTTTTTCCCGCATGAGCGTCGATCGCGCGACACGGATTCTATACCGAGTGCTGGTGGACAGGTTTTTGAACGTTTCGAAACGTTTGCGCGCGCGTCAACGGATCCGCGGATCACGGACACAACCGAAATACAACGTTACGTTCGCGCCCGTTACGTTCGTGCACACGTGAACGAAAAACGGTCGGTTTACGTGCACCGACAATATCGGCAACGGTTCGTCGTGCGACGCGACGGCGTCGCCGGCAGTACCGGTGGTGATCGTCATCATGCGTCTGATCGTTTTACCAAAACCGTCCAAAGCGTTCATCGCGTCGCTCTTTTTAGACGTCGCGGACCGATGATGACAGTCGTCGTCGGTAAATCCCATTACGACCGCACTACGCGTGTCGTCGTCACCATCATCATCGTCATCGTTGTCGTCGAAAGACATGTATATCATTTGAACGAATTCGGAAATCGTTTCGCGGAAACCATTGGACGCGGCAGCGGCACCGTTGCCGGGATCGTTGGATTTGACGAATATGCCGTGCACGTTCATCTGTAAATGAAAAAAAACGTAAAATCCGAACCGTCGGTCGAAACGACCCCGTACACGTACGTCGTTCAAAACGGGCCTGACGTCTACGGTGCTCAGTATTTTGCATTTGGGCAAAAACAATTGAACTTTGCGCATACGCAAACGTTTGACGATCTTGTTCAATTGAAACGATTCTACGGCGGACCGCAACTGTTGCACGGGACTGGTTTCGTTGTTCGACAACGTTATCAATAAAAACAATCCGTCGTTCTGTCGTGCGGGCACACGTGCTATATATTATAAAAATATCGTGATGCGTAAATCAAAAAAACATACTTTGCAATCCAATCGAACGTGCGTAGATCCGTCAACGACGCAGACAGGCATGTCTGAAAACTGGTACATCGTGTCCGCGGAAACCGTACGGTTGTCGATGGTACGAAACGGCATAGACCTGGTGTTTTTTTTATAAAACGGACTGTGTAGTTTATATTGCACGTTGGACACGTTGCTCAATATGTGACGGTGGTTGTCTGCGCGCGCGTGTGTGTGTGTGCATGTGAAAACAATACGATTATAATAAAAAAATACGGTATCGCGTAGTCGCTTTACGTACCCATTTTAGTCTTAACGACCAACGGTCGCAAAACGTCCATAGTGTATTCGACGGTGTACGCGGCAGCGGCGTTTAACGTACAACACAATTCAAATTTTGTATTGTACTTCGAGATCAGTCTGTTTACGGGATGTTCGATCGAACGGTTGATATCACCGGTGTTTGGCACAAACACGTGATTGCCGTACACCAACACCTGATCGACAAACAATTTATTGTAATCGTTACGTGTGGACGTTATGGACTTGCCGACGACGTTCCAGCCCAAAACCCGGTGGAGTTCGTCGATCGTCGTTTTGTCCGACGCAGCGTTCAGCGCGTAAAACGATAACAACAGGTTAACGCCTATAGGCGATACTGCGTAATTGCCGGAACCCGCACCGCGACCGATCACGATTTTCTGTAATACATATACGAAATCGGTACATTGCATTATTTTCCTATAACGGGAGCGCAATATCGGTACATCGCGTTCGCGCACGTACTTTGATAAACTCTCGAGAAAACCGTTCTATGGACTCTGCCGTTTTTACAGTACTCTGGTCCGTGCCACCGACGCACGCTGGTTTCATCGTAAGCGCACTGAAAAAGTGTGTGTGTGTGTGTATCAGCAAAGATGTGTACATGTGTTACGAAAAAGGTGCAGCAACACCTTTATCCGAGTTTTGGCACTTTCGGTTAATAAACACTGATAGCGTGCGCATTTATTTATACAATAAACCCGGTAAATTACCGGTACGTGGAAGTTTATTGATTTAATATTCTAATAGGGATTTAGGGCTACCGACGATAGCGTTTGCGGTCTGCAATCCACAACAACGCGTAATAAAATAAAATGGATTAAATTTTGTGTGTGCGTGTGTGTGTGTGTCGAGCGCATGAGCGTTCAACGCAGAGTCGATTTAACGAGTGTTGTGCGTTTTTTTCAATTAAAGATGAAATTCAATAATTTATTTCTTTTTATTGAACATGCGCGCACATAAAAAATGCTACGAATTTATAGTATAAACATCATCTATATATATATTATAAATTAATAAATATGGCCTTGGTTTCAAATAAAAAAAATTAATAACTTTGCCGTCAATTGACAGGTCCGTTTCATAAAGAAATTCTTCTCAAATGTAATATAGTGTCGTCGACACACGCGCGCAATGTTTTCGTATTTAAAAACTATAATAAACCCCACTATCGAATGCGCGTACACGATCGTGCGACAAATTGATGACGACGACGACGACAACGACCGTTGTTTCGTCGTCGTCGGATTAGAAAACTCGTCGGTTCGCCAATGTTTCTATGAAAACGATCACACCGCGTTTGATGACTGCAACGAATATCAATATCTATCCTTAGTCTGGCAACTAATCCGTACACGAAACGACGACGACGACGACGACGACGCTGTTTTAGATTTTAACGGGAAATGGCTCCGTTTCGATTTAAAAGATTCTAGATTAATATATACGTCCACTTCGGTACCGACGCACGTGACCGATTGTCAATACAACGACGTCGTATCAGCACAATGTCGCGCTATATTGAAAAACGATTCTGTAAAAACTGTCGTGCGTTCGTGCGCCGACAACGTCGTCAGACGGTTACGGTTGACGGGCGACGAAAACACGACGTGCGTCGTCACGTTCGAAAACCTACTCACAAGCGAAACCGGTGTTAGATTGACGTTAACGTTCGTGATTTCGGTCGACGGAGCGCCGCAACCCTCGGGCGGTCGCTCCGTCAATAACAAACAATCGTACAAAATCCGAGGAATACTGAAAAGATCGCCCGTGGCTTGTGTTCACAGTCACGTAAACTTTGATCTGTTGTACAGATCCTGCGTTCTACAATCCGTAGCCAGTAAATTAAAAATGGAAACTGATTGTTTATTTTACGGTACCGACGCTTTTAGATTACCGTCACGGCTCGTAGGCCATTATTATAAACTATTGGTTCAGACCCCCGTACGGCCCGATAGGCGTATAGAATTCAACTTCACATAATCCCATTATATACACATGCGGGCGTGCGTGTACGACGCAGCGACGACAGCAACAGCAACAGCTAGTGTTGTAAAATTACCGGTAATTTATTTTTAGGTAACTTACTTGAGTAAATTACCGGTAATATTACTTTTTTATGGTAATATTGGGAAATTTATATAAAATTACTTGTAAATTATTTTTAGGTAACTTACTTAACTAAATTATCGATAATATTACTTTTTACATTTATATTACTTATTAGGAAATTTATTTTTCAACACCCAATTGATAAAAAAGTAATATTAATTAATTATTATTAAAGTAATAAAATACCTAAATGGCTACGATCAATATAAATATTATTTCTCCTTATATGAAGCATTCAAATATTTTCTATACAAATATAGCCAATAATCAATAAATGTATTTATAATACTTTATAAAATAATGTTAAGCAAAAGTACAAAACTAAATAATATACTTTTATCTGAAAATAGAAATTTAAAATAAAAAAACATATTTTTTGATATAATACATAAAAAGCTTTTAATTCAATAAAAGCAACAAATTAAGCCAGTCTTGACTTTTGTTAGATCACAAAAAACTATAACGATTTAATATACACCTCAAAACAATATTAGAAAATAAAAATAGATAACTTTCAGTATAAAATTATTATAAAAGTTATAAACAAAATAAAAATAGTAAATTGCACTTGTTTGGTTATTTTAAAATATAATAAAATAAGTAATAACATGTTGTTTCAACAAAATAAAATTGAGTAGGAAACTTTCCGTATTATAAAATATTAAATTGTACAAATTATCAACAAAATAAAAATAATAATTTAGGTACTTAAGTATTTTGAGTTTCGAGATCATCATATGTTAAATATTCTACTTCGGCTTCAGTTTCTGACCCACAATCAGATGTTTCATCATCAGCATATGGAATTTCATAACTTTCATCATCTGAGTTGTCTTCGTCTTCAACCGTTTCATACTCATTTTCATCAATGTTCATAGGCATATCATTCAACTCCTGTGATGTAGTAGTCAATGTAGATGAAGCAGAAATTAATTTTATAGCTTTAGGTTTTGGATTATTGTTGATTAACTTCCAATTATGGCTAATGTAGGTTATTTTACCAGCCCTATCACATGTCAGTTTATTTCTTTTTTTTGTGTGAATGTTCCCATAAGTACTGAACGAGCGCTCTGTGGCAGCTGATGTAGTTGGAGCAGTTAAAATACTTGTAGCTATTGAAGAAAGTACAGAAAAGGAACATAAACCATTCCACCATACTAAAGGTTCCATTAAATTAGAAGATTCCCATAAATAACTTTTTAACCAAACCCCTGTTGATTTTGTTTTATAGTTAGCCAACTCAGCCATTATGATATTAGCATTTAAACCTCTGTTCATTGAAATATTATAAATAAATTCAGATGCATCAATATATTCTTCAGGAGTAAGTGAACTTCCTTGGTCACAAGGATCAAGTACTGTTGCTGCCAAATGTAGGGGTTTTATCATATTTACTTTTCTTCTTTGGAAATTAACACACATTTTTGAGGAATCAGCTATTGACAAAAGCGAAGAATCAGTGCTTTTGTTTAAACAAGTTTCAATTTCCATTATATACTTGTAAACCTTATGAATATTTGGCGAATCTGACTCTAATAAAGTTATATATTTAACCATAGGTTTTAATAAATTAATACATTTGTCAACATTTTCCCAAAAACCACTATCATCTAATAAAAGTTTTTTAATAGAAGCTGATAATGTTGGTTCACGGACAGCTAAGATTTGTAAACTAAATTTAGTTGAATTTAAACTTTCCAGACAATAAAAAAAACTAGCCCATCTTGTTGGAGATGGTAGTTTTAGGGAACATAAAATGTTTTGTTCTTTATTAATATTCTCTAAGCAAGCTTTGAGTATCTGCGAACGATTAATTGATTTCACAATTGATAAACTATCTGATTTTAATTTAACTAATGACTCAAGGTTTACAATATCATTGAACAGTAGGTTTATAGAATGTGCTAAACAATTAAGAGGAACTAAATGAGGATACACATTTTTAAGCAACATGAAGCTTTTTTGAACATTTGCAGCATTATCACCAATTAAAGTCACAAATTTCATGGGATTGAACTCAATTAACACTTAGTTAATTTCATCTGTTATGTATTCTGCTGTATGTCGATTTTGACCAGTTGCGACACTTTTAACAAAAACTGGACGTGGTGTTGACAGTATAAAATTCATAATTCCATTATTTCTAATATTGGTCCAACCATCACATTGTAGATGTAGATGTGGGGCAGACAAAACAATTTCAGATACCTTTTTTTTCATTTCACTGTATTGACTTTCTAATAAGGTAGATGACAATGAGCTCCGAGTTGGTATTTTATATACTGGACGACAAGCTGTAAAAACTTTTTGCCATAGTGGATGTTCCAACATACTTAATGGAGCACCAGTGACATAAATTGCATTTGCTATGTGTTTATCAAGGTCATCCTTTAAAATATACAAACCACTTATTAGTTATTACTTAATAAAACTTATTTCATAATTTTAAAATTATTAGGAATTTACCTTTTGAGACTTATTCATTGAGTCAAAATAATGCTCAAGTTTTTGTGAATTGATAATGGCTGATGAACATTGTGAAAGTACAGTTGATCTTCCAGAATCATTTACCATTCCAGCTAAACCAGATACATTGTTATTATCATCAGTATCATCCTGGTCCAATACAGATTTTGGAACTCTTGCTACTGAACTAGCTGTAGAAGTTGATTCTAGATTTTGATTAAGATCACTAGTTACCAAGTCTGAAATGGAAATTATTAAAACATTTTGAAATATAATTTAAAAAAAATATTAAATTGCATAAAATGAAAATAGTGAATACCAACCTTCATTTTCATCATCATTTATTAAACTTTTGGACTTTGAACTGCTTAGCTTCTTTTTTCATGATATGTTTGCTCAAATATTTGGTTTTAATATTAGTTGGACACTTGATGCACTTAGATATATGAAACTCCATTTTGGTTGCGTTAATAAAATTATAAAAAACATTGCAATGAATACACTGAGCCCCAGAACGACCGTTGACAGTGCATTTTACAAATTCCGACCATATTTTGGAACGATCACGACCCATTTTACTGTAGATTGTAGAACAGTTAAGTTCCTAAAATTTTATTCTGGTCTGAGACAATTAGACGAATATAAAAGATCTGCATTCTGTCGAAGCCATGAATCGGTGTTTTTTTTAAAGCAAGTTTAAATTTCTATTATATATATATGTACATATAAACATTAAGTATATTTGACGAATCTGACTAAAATAGATTATACTGGTATACTGCTAAAGACATTTATAGACAAGTGCTAAATGATAATTGCTATAATTTTAAATTTATAATAATGATTATGTTTTAATGTTTATATTTTTCTTTATCAATACCTAATCAGTAATCACTAAGGCACTGTCTCCAAAGAGCCTACATAAAACCTAATAAGAGTAACATGGTATAATATATTAATATGTTATATGATTATGATTATAATATAAATAATGATTAATGAATGATTCATAAAATTAAAAAAAAAAATACTCATAAAGTGGTAAAGTAATTTATATTTATTACTTTACCGATAAATTACTTACTTTAAAATACTTTACCAAAGTAATATTACCGACTTACATCACGAGCAACAGCAGCGGCAGTGGTGTACAATACACATCACAAAAATTATATTATATAATCCTTATACTATGGAACAACAGAGTACAAATACGTGTATTATATATATATACATCACAAAATAATGGAGTACAATTGAAAAAAAACACGATTATCATATATATATATAGAGTACAAATACGTGTATTTATTCAAGTGTCGTGTCAACATACAATAAAAAATGCAAACGATGATTTATTTTTTTTGTCGTCTCCGTCGTTCACAATCAATCACCGTGCACAATTTTTTAAATCTTTAATGCATTCGTTCAGAGACGCTTCGTTAAACATAAAAGCAAAATTAGAAAACAACGGTTTGAAATCGACGTAGGGCGTACTGTTTAAGAAAACGGTACCGAACGAACTCTTCAATTCGCTTTCGCAATAAATCAATATAAACTGCGTACGACCGGTCTGCCGCAAACGTTGTCCCGAAACTATGTACCGGTTCATTTGTTCGATAGCCGATCGTTGTTGGTTTTCCGAAAGACTCGTCGAGTTATCGTACAGTCGGTCGAAAAACATTTTCATGGTCTCCTCGTGACCCTTGGCCCCGGATTGCACGACACTCGAAACGGTGTCCGTGGTCTGCAACAGGTCGTCGACGGTTATGCAATACGTGTTTCGCGTTTCGTTCAGATTTCGCAAAACCATACAAAACTCGTCGTATTCCGATTTCAGGTAGCCGCAACCCGCTTCGATCATATATCTGTAATCCGTTAAAATGTAAACAATACGCACGCACATTAACACAGCAAATCACTCACTCTAAACCATGACCGTGCGTTCTGTTGAAAAATTCGTTGTTTTCCCGCAACCATTGAGCGTTGCGGTAAATCAGTAACCGCGCGTTTTCGCTGAACGAAAACCTCGGCAAACCGATCAGAGTCTTGTTGCGTGCGTACGCCACGGACATTTCGTATTTCGACAGTTTATGCAAAAACGTCTCGTACCGATCGTAAAACTGGCGCGTGTGCTTGGGCAATGCGTATACCGCGTTTTTATCGCCGTCCACGTCTTGATTCATGGGTTTGGCCACGGCGTCGTTGATGACTATAACGTCTACACCGGGATCGGGGTTGCGTATCGCTTTGCAAACGAACATGCACGTGGATTTAATACAGGGATCTCGTTTGATGCACACGAGATTCAAATCGTATTCGTTTTTCATCATGTCCCATATGCGTTGCGGTATCATCACTGCGTCCGACGGCAAGTCGCACGATATGGTGGCCGTCTGATAGATGGCTTTGACTTCGAATCCCGTCACGGCCGTCCGCACCACCGATTGTTTTCCGCTTTTGTATTTTTTTATACTAGACACTTTGAAATTCGACGTTTCGAACCGTTTGTAACGTTCCGGCACGGCGTTGGGCAAGAGAACCGCCGCGCGCACCAACGACGCAAAATGATTCGTCGACTGTTCCCGCCACAGAGACGGGTCGTAAACGACGTATTTTTTATTGTCGACCACGAGCAAAAACGATTGTTTGAAATCCGTAACGTACACGGCTTCGTCGCAACACCGAAACGTTTGGACCGTGCACGGTACGGTGTTGTCGTGTTCGTGTCGGTGCGCGTGTCGTTTACAAAAATAAAACAGCGCCACGCGCAAATCAAACAAATGGTTGAACAAGTCGTGTTCGAACAACGTCGTGCTGTGCAATCGTCCGTCGGCGAATTTCGGACCGACGCACGTCACGTCCGTGGTCAGATCGCAATAATACGGATCTTTTACCACGCACGGACTCCCGGTTTTACAATTTATGCACTCCGAACACGGGGGATCGTGTTTGTGCACGCAACACCGGAAAACGCGACACGTTTCCAGAGTTTTTCGATGAAACAACAGCGATTGGTGTCGTATCAACAGTTCGAAAGCCGTACCGCATTTTTTGCATTCACGGTCGTTGCTCACGAAACACGGTACCTTGCGGTGCGCGTGTTTGCCACAAAGACATTTCCGAAAAAACACGTCTTCGGTCGACAGGAAATGATCGCGTAATTGAAAATCGTACACTTGGTGTTCGAGCGGTTGTATTTTAATTTTATTGGTCAGAAACAACGGGACGAGTGACATGGCGTAGTTTTACGGTCGAGACGGCGGATCCGACTAAAACGACGAACGGTCGTTTATTACAATATATACATATTATATATGTGTGTGTTTGACATGCGTGTATACAGTACAACAAACTTGTACTTTTTTTTACAATGTCTCGTGGAGCGATCGTTTTATAATAAAAAAATTATACGTTGTACAATAAAAAAACAACGATCGTTCTCCAAACATTGTTTTTTTATTCTGTATATAAAAAGAAAAAAAAGTAGGGATAAATGATAACGGGCGCGAATGCGTATAAATACAGGTGCGGCCTCGCGCGCGCGACAGACTCTGTCCAGTAGTATAGTGGTCGAGGACGGAGTCGTCCGTCTCCCAGGGAACAGGGTGACGGCGTCTACCGAGGTATACATATACGTATAAGGATAGGGCGCGGGACGGGACGGAGAATAATAGTAATAGTGATTTTCTGAAAAAAGTTTTTTTTCCGCGCGGCGTCGTCGTCAATGGTAATAATAATAGTAATAGTGATTTTTATAAAAAGTTTTTTTCCGCGGGCCAACCGGGATCGCGTCGGACGCTGCACACAAAAATACAGCGAGCGAGTACTCCGACCGCTAACGCGGCTACGGCGCCAACGACGGCGATGACGGGTTACAGTGTCCCCTTATCACCACCACTTTCGCGTATTCGGCGCGTGTACGCCGTCCGCGACGATGCACGCCACCGCCGGTGGCGCAGCACGCTGCACGCATGGGTTTTCACCGCGTATTCGACGAGTGCGCGTTGTGCGATATAGTGCGCACGGTCGTCTTCCGTGCGGGTTGTGCGATACATCCAAAATAATAAATTTTGAAAAAACAGAACAATATAGGTACTCATACGCGTCAATTGTTGCTACAACTGCTGTTAGTTAAACATAGAACCTACGACGTGGTAAATCATTTTTAAGCGCACGACTACTATTGTGATACGATTACAGATGATATTTTGGTCTAACGTTCTAATTTCGAGTAATAATCTATATCGCATATATCGAAATACTGTATCATAAAATCTTGTAATTTGTTTTGCGATTTTTATAGAACTGTACGTATTGTCTATGTATCGCGACATTTGAACTAATGTGTTAACAAATACTCGAACCCTAACATTGAAGTTTCTGCTCAAATTTATTTCGTATTGAATATAAAACGCCATCTATTTAACACAGTCGTTGTCTATGTAAAAATAATCAAATATCTAATATCCGATAGATATCTTCACGCATTATTGCCCTGTCGTGATAATCTACATCTTTTCTTTTGTAATTTTCATAGTATCTAAGTGTATGCATCTCGACTTTCCTGATACTCGAACTACAAACACCAGCAGGTCAATACTATGACAATATATTTTCGAACATGTTTCGGTAGTTTTGTCTATTATTTCAATCAACGCGTTCTTTGGTTTTGAAAATACTCAATTGCATCCATTTCGTTAAAATCATAACGTCAACTTTCATTGACAAAATCTGAACGCAATTCTCATTTCAACCATAATAATGGTTGGTTTAGTAAAACATACTCTAGTTTATTTTTCCTATTCGTTGTTATAAAACGATATTTTATACATCAGATTCTCCTCAGTTTAGACCAACCGTTCATTCCAGTATTTGAAAATGCATTGCATTCATTTCCTTTGTATTATATTCGCCATTCATTATCAATCACAGGCACATTACATACATTACATAAATGTATCCTATCTGGCCTCAACCGACGGTATTTTCTGTTGCGCCGCCATTCCTCATAAAATCGGCGAACTGCCTGGAAGATGCCACCGAACGTGACGCCGACTTCCTGATGAACATTTTCCTGCTGACGCCGCTATCGCCATAAACCTGATGGAAGAACTTCCTGGTGGAGATGACAATATGAGATGAAATTTTGAATGACATGCCGTGCCGCTATGCCGCCGCCGCTGCCTGCGTTGCCGTGGGCGAACGTCGCCGCCGCCTGC